CCTTGAGCTGAAGAGCTGAGGGACAGCGCCCAGGCCCAGAGTTCAAGCCCCACGACCGACCAAAAAAAAAAAAATTCAACTAGCTGGGCAAAGTGATTCTATACCTCAAATCCTAGCTACTCAGGAGGCTGCGATCTAAGGATCCAGGTTCAAAACCAGTCTAGCAGAAAAGTCTGTGAGTGTCTTACATCCAATTAACCAGCAAAACAAGCCAAAAAAGCTCAGCTGTGGCTCAAGTTTACAGCACCAGCCTTGAGTTAAAAGCTAAGAGGGACAGTGTCCAGGCATGCGTACATGTACACATATGTACACATACACACACGAGAGAATCAACTAGCTTTTAGTCTGAACTAGGAATGATGTAGAATTTTCAGCTGGATATTAGTATTTAAATTATACTAAATGAAAACCCTGCTCACATCTTCACCACAAAAGCAACAAAACAAGAAGGAAGTAAGCTTGAGATTTCTCACTTTGGATTTAACATACAAGTGCAAAAAGAGAACAGGGAAACCTGTAAAAACTGTTTTAAGAAGGGGAAAGGGAGGTGTGAGAGATGGAGGGAGGGAGGAAGTCTGACTAGGATTTATCATATGCTAATGTGGAAGTGTGCGTTAATATACCTTATGAAACCTTCCCCCCAAAACTTCTCAATTCAATCAACACCTCCACAGACTGCGTTCTTGGTGCTGGCAAAGTGATATTTTTCTCAGTTTTTTTTTTTTTTTGGTCGGTCATGGGGCCTGAACTCTGGGCCTGGGCGCTGTCTCTCAACTCTTCAGCTCAAGGCGAGCGCTCTACCACTTGAGCCACAGTGCCATTTCTAGTGTTTTATTGGAGTTAAGAGTCTTATGGGTATTTCTGCCTGGGCTGGCTTTGAACCATGATCCTCAGATCCTCAGAGTAGCTAGGATGACAGGTGTGAGCCATGGGTGCCTGGCTCAGTTAATTTTTAATAACCGTCTCCCCAAATGCCCAACAGTGTGAGTCTGGGTACGGGTGTTAGTTTGCTTCTGGGAATGAGCAAAACCATGTCCCAGGAGTTTCTGCCGGTGATCAGAGCCCAACGCTGGGCCGTTCACCCTACGGGGACCTGGTCCTCCCGTGGGGCAGGGAGACTATAACAGGTCCTCAGCCACCTGTAAAAAGGACTTCCTCCTACGGCTTGCTGGTCACCTGCTCACAGCAATACCCACAGTTACAGTTCTAGAAGGAGAGAGAGATGCTGCAAATATGACTCGTTTTTAATAAGTACAGGAAAAGCTACAAATGAGAGAGGAAAGACCGAGACAGAAAGACAGTGAGAGACAGTCAAAGAAAGCGAGATGGAGACACACTGAGACAGAGAGACATGGAGAGCGAGAGCGACAGAGACATAGAGACAGGGACAGTGACAG